GCAGAGCCGCCATAAGGCCTTGCAGTGTGTGGCGCAAGATATTTGAAACGGAGATTTCCAAGTAATCTCGTAAAAATATACCAAGATGTATGTATGGCGTAATACACAATAACGCAAAATATACTCGACGAATGCGATCTGCAGTGATGCTACACGGATCTCAAATATATTTAAACGAACTTAAGTGACACGAGGCGGAGGCCATAGTGCACGTTCATATATGGGCGTTGCCCGTACAAGACTTAAAATTATAAATATATTCAAAATCTTGGGATGAAAGCACAAGAAAAATACGTAGATCGGTATAAGAGTTTAGCGCGCATCACCACAGGTCAAAATTTCCGACGAACTGAGCCAATTACAAGTTAGATTCGCACACTTAAGACGAAGCACGCAGAGGCACGTCCGTCCTCCATCGTGCCCATCGACGGACTCCGATTATGTGGCACCTAAACTAACCTAACCTAATCTTTGTTCACGCATGGGGGGCTGAACCTACTGCCTCCACGCATACACTTTTCGCGCGAAACGAGATGCCACATGGGTTTACAACTTTCCACGCGTGAAAAGTTCACGCATGTACTTTGTAAGGCACAGTATGTGTCTAATTTAAAACATGTGGAGCTCCCCGCAGGGGGGCGGACTCTACTGTCTCCACGCATACACTTTTTGCGCGAAACGAGGTGCCACATGGATTTACAACTTTCCACGCGTGAAAAGTTCACGCATGTACTTTGCAAGGCACACAACAATTGGGTTGGGTTAGGTTAGTTTGTTTGGAGGTAAAGCTCCTCCCAGGTACTGCCTCCACGCATACTTTTTGCGTGAAATGAGGTTAGGTTAGGTTAGGTTTGGTGCACTCCCTTAGACGAGGAGTACATGATCCGCGCCAAGCCTGATAAGTGGATACATTTGTGTGTCGCAAACGCATGCAAAGCTGCGGTTCCTCGTATAAACGACCGTAGATCTGGACCTAAAACATACTAGTGGAGCCAGGAAATCGCGCGCCTTAGGAGAACAGCTGTAGCGGCTAAAAGGGCCTGGTCTCGAGGTCGTAACAGGACCACGCCTCAAATTCTGGCACAAAAAAGAGCGGCTTTCATCTTAGCCAACCGCGAACTCAAGTTGGAAATTCGCAGGGCCAAGTCCAAGTCTTGGCAAGAACTAATCGAGACCCTGGACGACGATCCCTGGGGTCTCCCTTACAAGATTGTTCTTAACCGGCTTCGAAGATCTACGCCTGGTCTAACCATTACCTTGGAACCGGATATCCTTAACAAATTTCTAGATAAACTATTCCTATATGGCAATGCGCTGAGGCCGGTCGACTTGGGCGACTGTGAGGAGGGAAGAACTCCGATTACGTTGGAAGAGGTCGTTAGGGTCATAGATTCGAAGAAAAACGTTGGCCACTACGCTAAAGAAACTACCATTAGTCATGAAACAAAGGTTGGTGCAGTGCTACAACATTTACACGAAATACGGCATCTTCTCTCCGAATTGGAAGGTTTCTGACTTCGTACTGATCCCCAAGAGGGAAATACCTCCCTTTGGCGAAACTCCAAAAGCGCGACCGATATGTCTTCTCAACAAAGTTGAGAAGACTTTCGAACGTATCATTGCGGATAGAGTTGATAAATTCATGGATGAGAACCCTTCTTCCAACCGCTCGGATAACCAATTCGGCTTTCGGCGGATCCGTTCGACGACTCTGACGCACTATTTCTCGTCAAGAAAATCATTACTGAGGCCCGAAAGAATGGGAAAGTCGCTCTTGCTTTTTCTCTCAACATCGAGAACGCATTTAATTCTATCATTTTATCAGCTATAAGAAGAGTCCTCCGAGTAAAGGGTTTTCCTAAATATCTCCGCAGGATAATTGAGGTCTATCTTTCCGATAGAAAGATTAGATTCGTAACGCGCAACGGACGTCGTACTAGACGCGTTAACAGGGGGGTTCCAAAGGCTCCGTATTGGGCCCGTTGCTCTGGAACCTTGCGTACGACTATGTATTGAGAACTTTGATTTTCGAAGGATGCCACCTTATTTGCTATGCCGACGACACCCTGCTGATCGTCGTTGAAAATGACTTTGACGCCGCATGCGCCCTACTCGAGGAATGTCTTACGCGGATTCTTATTAACATTTGTTCGCTTAGCCTCCGCGTATCTTGATCCAAGTCAGAGGCCATGTTTTTCGGTCGCGAAAAACATGGCCTCTTAACTCATTCCTGAAGTTCGAGGGAGTGAAGATTAGAATTATGAACTCAACGAAATACTTAGGGGTATATATTGATAAACAATGGTTGTTCAATACTCATTTTAAGTATATTGCTGACAAAGTTAACAGAGTAAGCAGATCACTTGTGGCATCCTCCCTAACCTGAGGGGCCCTATTGAAAGCAAGCGGAGGCTGTACTACAGCGTAGTGATGTCCATCATTCTCTACGCTGCCCCCATCTGGTCTGATGAACTTTCTGGCTCGGAAAATAAGCAAAGGATTTTACGCCTCGCGATCTTACCGCCCAGCGTACCGTGATGGCCTACAGAACGGTCTCCTACGAGGCCGCTTCTTTGCTTTCAAGGATACCACCGGTACAACTATATGCCGCATACCTCAAACGGGTATATTTGCGTCTCCATGAACTGAAGGACCTTGGTACATACATTGTGGACTCACCGGCAGCGGAGCGAGCGGTGGAATAGTTGGCGTTTAGGAGGGAATGGGCTGACTACCTTACATGTTAGAATCTTCCCGGAAGGAGAACGCGGGATGCGATTGCGCCGAATTTAGAGTCTTAGCTCGATCGACGATCGGGCTTCTTAACCTATCGTATCACACAGTTCTTAACTGGTCATGGTTGTTTCGGGGTTTTCCTCCACAGGATTGGGAAGGAGGAAACCCCGATATGTAGATACTGTAACAGCGCCGAGGACTCCCCAGAACACACTCTTTCGGAGTGTACTTTTTGGACTTTTGAGCGTGCGGAGCTGACGGCGGTCGTTGGTCGGGACTTATCTTTGGCCGCCATTGTTGGAAGTGTTTGTGACTCTCGCGAGGCATGGAGCGTTTTTTCCGCCTTCGCCAAAAGGATCTTGCGGCGAAAGGAAGAAGACGAAAGAAATAGACAACAGGGTCTTATCGTTGCTGATGCGGTTGGAGATGACGATCTCCCCCCTTGATATTTTTGAATTCTGTTTTTTTGAAACCTTGTTAATTGCGGTATTGCGTACCTTGCGCTAGATTAAGTGGTCTTCTTACTTGCGGCGTGCGTTTCGCGGGTCAGTCTCGGCGTTTTCTGGGGAGGGGGCGGACGCCGGCCGTCTTCGGGCTGTTTCCCTCTTAGGGTCCGGTGCGTCACTTCGATGACGTTCCCGGATTCCCGGGGGGGAGTGGTGGTCCGGGGGCGGTCGGCGCTCGTCGTCCTCTGGGGTCGCTTGGGGCGCCGCGGTTTTTTGCAAGCGTGTTTGTTTTTTCCGTTTTTGTCGGTATATTTTGTTTTTCAGGGTGCCCATTGTTGTGTGCTGTGGGGTCCTCCGGGGGTTGGTCGGCCGTGGCTCGCCGCTTACCGCTGTTTGGGGCTCTGGTCCCATTGCTACGCAATGGGAGCCATGAGCCTCTTCGTGGCTACGGGGCGCGGTTGGTCGTCCCTCGTCGTTGGTGTGTTCAACGTACTTGCGCTCTTTCCCTGGGCCCCCTTTCTCGGGGGTGGGCCTAAGGAAGGGGCGAGCTTTTCTCTCGCCAAGAGCTCGCCTTGGATGGAGGTCCGGGCAGATCTCTCTTTATCTTGGTCATGGGTATATCCCACAGTGTCGACGGGCCCGAAACTCAGGCTCGTGCGTTGTGTCGTGTCGAACCCTCTATCCGGATAGAGGGTTCCTGTTAGTTTTGTTCGTACGCGTCCTGTGGTTCGTGTACGATCTTTGTACTAGGGGTGCGGGGTCTCTCGGGCGAAGTGTCTCGCAGCCAATGAAGAGAGGCCTCAATGATATGACTGCCCGCGGTCACTATCATGAGGTCCCTCTGAGGCGGTCGAATGGCGACACTTGTGTCGTTTCATTTGACTAGGGATTTCTTCTTCCGAGAGTCGGGGTATCCTCAGCGATGACCTGCCCGTTGGTCCTTTGTCTTCGGATTACGTTTTCTGTCGCCTCGGCGTGAGGACTGTTGTGCCACGTGATGTCATGCCTCGTTAGTAGTTCCGCGTGTCGCAACTGTAGTCCAGCGTGCTGTGTTTCAGAGGGAAAAGGGTTTTAGTGGGTGCAAGCCCCACATATCCCGAGTGGCCGGCCCCCGGCGAATGCGCAAGGCATTTCCCCTCTTCCCACGGGAAACAAAAAAAAAGGTTTGATGCTACAGTCTCTTGCGGTGTTACCGCTGCCTGGACGTGGGACACGTTCGGGCGCGGTGCACTGCCCCGGTGGACCGCAGTGATAGATGCTGTGGTGAGAGATCCCACCAGCTTTTGCGCTGCGGGGGCCTCAAGATGTCCGCTTTGCGCGGACTTGGGGCTCCCGGCTGGGCATCGGCTGGGGGGAGAGTGGGTTTTACTAGGAGTCCGCAGGGGGGATTGGGGGAACGCGGGCCGCCGGTTAGACCGGCCAGAGGTGTCCGGGCGACGGTTCCTCCTTCCCCTATACATCCATCCACCTCCGATATGGAGGCGGGTGGATGATGTTAGGCGTGGCGGTCTGGGGGGGCTGAGGCGGATTCCCTGCGGGGTTTCCGCCTCTAGTGCTCCTCTCAGCCCGTAGGATTCGAGCTTTTCGTTTTTGTTTATGGTGTTGGATTTTCTGTAGGTCATGTTTTCTGTTATTTATTTTTAGAGTTTTTATTTTAGGAGCTCGCAGGAGGGACTGGAGGGACGTGGGCCGCCGGTCGTCGGTGAGTGGTCCCTGAGCGGCGGTTCCTCCTTCTTCTATGCATCTGCCCACTTCCTTATGAAGGTGGGCGGATGATGTCGCGCGCGATGGTCCGGGAGGGGGGCCTGGGCGGATTCCCTACGGGGTTCTGCCATTGTGCTCCTCACGGTCTACGTGTATTCGGTCCGAGTTGGACCTTTTACGTTTCGGGGTCTTCGTCGTTTGGGCTGCGGGGCTGTCCTGGGGTTGGTCGGCCGCGGTTTGCCGCTCGCTGCTGTTTGGGGCTCCGGCCCCACTGCTACGCGGTGGGTGTCGGTAGCCCTTTGTGGCGGCGGTCCGCGGTCGGCCGTCCTCTGGGGGGTTTCCGTGTCCCGCTGCAGGGATTTCCCTTTTTTCATGTCTTTGTGCCCTTCCTCTGGGCCCCGCGTTCGCGTGGGGCCTAGGAGAGGAGCACAGTTTTTCTCTCCAGCCGAGTTACCTCGACCTACTCACGCGGACTAGTAATCTAGTCCGTCTTTGTTTGGTGTGCACCTCTCATTAGACGAGTGCGTGGTCGCACTTGTGTTTTGTCTATGTGGAACCTCTCTCCGGGTAGAGGAGGTTCCTGTTTGTGTTGTTCGTGCACGTCCTTATGGTTCGTGTACGAGTAGTTTATGGGATGGACCTCCCCGAGCGAACCATCCTCGTAGCCGATGAAGGGATCCTCGCGATGCGATTGTAGATCGGCGTCGCATCCGTCATCGTGTGGGGTCCTCGAGGCGGTCGGATGGTGGCGCACACGCGTTTCGCTATCCGACTAGGGATGGCTTCTCTCGGGGATCGAAGCATCCCTTTGTTTGATCTGTCGTTGGTCTTGTGTTTGTGGATTACGTTTTCTGTCGTCTCAAGCGTGAGGACTGTTGTGACACGTGAAGTATTGCCTCGTGTGTTCCGCGTGTCGTAACTGTAGTCCGTAGTGCGGTTTTTAGGAAGAGGGGTTTTAGTGGATGCAAGCCTCACATATCCCGGGGGCCGGCCCTCGGTTGAATGCGCGAGGCATTTCCCCTTTTCCTCCGAAACAAAAAAAAGGTTAGGTGCTACATAATTCGTAGGAGGTTAAAAGATGATTAAATGTGCAAATATCTATTTTTTAGACTGTTTCTCCCCTTGGGGGTCCAACGTTTGGGAGTTAACAAGGGAGAGTATCACCACTCAACTCCTCTTGTCAAGCGCTACAATATAGGGTATCACTCCCCCCCTCCCGAGGGAGTTAGGTAAATTTAACCAAAAAAAGTTTAAAATATTAATTTACTAACATAAATTTAAAGAAAACAGATTTTGGATTTTTATATAGTACTTCATTTGTACATACGCACCTCAGTCGCATCTGCTCTTTAAACGCGGAAACTATTTTCTCTCTTAACGATTTGAAATTGTTGCCATACGTGTCGCCCGGAATTTCTTTCTCCGCCTCTATCTGCCTCGGTCTCTCACCCTTCATTTTATTCCGCAGACGCGAAATTTCGCTTTTCAGGTCGCTAATTACATCACGGTACTGCGCAACATGTAGATAACTGACGTCCAATACGTTCCGCTCGATCTTATTGGAGATTTTGTTGGCGCGGTCCGCGTAAATCAAGGTAATTTTACTCTCGTCACGGTGCGCGTTTGCTGGTGAAACATGGGCGATCATAACAGTACGACAGTTACCACTGAGGCCATCCTTCAGCAATCGGGTAAGCTTAGAATCGCGATAATTCACATATCGTGCTCCACCAGATAGGGCATTGATACAGTTACCCAACGCCAGAAGGGATCTATTGATATGCGCGCCTTCCTGCAGTCTTTTGCCTTTGTTCTGTAACAGCGAATTCAATTGAGGAAGAACAACACTTTGAAGTTCGAAAGAAAAGCATGTTTTTTGTAAATTATTTTTGAGACACATATTTTGTTGAAATGTTATTGATTGCGGGTTTAAATGTGCATATATCAATATTTAAGAATTTTTATTATTAAATATAGGTACATATTTAATCACATTATAGAGGTCGCTATAAAATTCTGTGCGGCTTCATGGTTTCCTACTTTGTTCACGTTCAGCTTATCTAGGAAAAAAATTAAACATTTTAAAAATATATTAATGTAGTTTCAGTTAACTGTACAGAAATTAAATTGTAATAATTTTTGAAAAATGGTAGATTAAAACAAGTTTTAAACATGGTGGTTATTTTCCCCCTCAAAAACGAGCGGGGTTGACGAACCACAAAATGGATATGTTTATATCAGTGCCATTTACTATCGAATGGCACATAAATTAAGCTTACGAATTTTACTTCGATTTAAAACCGTGAATTGACTGGCCTAAAAGGTATATTTCCGTACGAGTCGACAGCGTTGATAAGCTGCAGTTATCACCGCGCGAGGCCTTCCACAGTTCGTTGGCCGGCGAGACCGCAACAGTAATTACGAGCACGTGTTGAACTTCTAGCAGTGCTTTCGCGCAAAGTGTCTTGACGAGTATCGCGATCTGTATCTCAAAACGGATGTGATTTTCTTTTGGCAGACATTTTCGAAAATTTCCGCATTCCGATACCTCTATCGAGAGTTACAGGTTGGACTCTACATATTACTACCGGGATACACATGGGATGCCAAGATATTAAAAAATACGGTGTTCGACTCGAATTGTTCACTGACATCAACATGGTGTTGTTCGTGGAACACGGTATACGCGGTTTTGTCTGAAAATGAGCCAATGTTTAAACAGGTACGCGCGAGCCAACAACAAATACGTATTATCGTACAATTCATTGTACGGAACTATCGACGTTGTGTACTTCGATGTGAACAATATCTGTACAGTTGGACAATGTGTAAACCGCTAGAGTACGCCGAATTTCAATGGGTTGACCACATCGAAAGCTTCAATGTACTGTCTGTGACATCGCACAGACTTCATTATCGGCTACATTCTGGAGGTCGACCTCGCATATCCGTGAGAACTCCACAATCCTTATACAAATCTTTCGTTATTTTCCGACGCGCAACAAGCCTCTCGGAAAACAATGTGATAAACTCCTCACCAAAACTCCTCATCATTGCACGTTCGTGTACGATAAGTCGCGTTACGTAACGTGCTACAACTTACATTACACCAATATGTACGACATGGACTGCGCGTAACGAAGATTTATCGTATATTATGATTGTCACAATCTCCATGGCTTCACGGATACGTCAAACTTAGTATAATATAAGGTTTAAAACTCGCGCGAACAATGAGTTCGAAAAGAACATATACAAACTGATAAATAACACAGCATTCAAGGGAGAACGTACGCGATCGCATGAACGTGTGACACATTGGGACGGAAGATACAGCGCGAAGGCGATGATCGCAAGACCATACTTTTATGATAAAAGCATCTTTTCGGAAAATCTAATCGCCATCGAATTGCGTAAGCTCGGAGGTGAAGTTCAACAAGTCAATCTATATAGCTATGTGCATTCTCAAGACACGTATCCAAGATATCTGTACAACTTTCACTACGTGAGTACCTACTTATGTAGTACTGTTAATTGTATTGTGAAAAATATAAAATAATGTACACGGACATCGATATATATACATGTTCTCGAGTGCGACATGTACGAGAGTATAAAGCGCGATGTCGCGCGATTTAACACAAGTGATTTCTCTGAAAGCAACACGTGTACGATATGCCGCGTGTGATTTGATGAAGGACGAGAACAACGATACAGATCATGATGGAGTTCATGTATAGGACTCTGGATAAAGGTATTCGCCTTAAGAGTGATCGCAAAAGACGGAAAGAGGGTAAAGGATAACAAGAGGAACGTCGTGAAAAAGATAACGTTCAATGATTATACGCGACGTTTGAACGACGCGATAGAATAGTTGAGACATCAGTCGTGCATACGTTTGATATTGTACGAGTTTACACCGTATCCAAACTGAAGCTCGCTTTCATTTCATACAACGACATCTGAAACGATATCTGATTCCTGCGATACTTTACCATGTGGACATTACAAGACACCGTTATAATATATATGTACTGTGACGTTGCGGCCCGCCGCTTCGTGGCAGCGTCCCGCCGCCGTTACAAGGCGCGGAAATTCGCGCCCAGGGACGAGCCAGAGAGGCGACGACGAGATCTCCAGGGGCCGAAAAATTAATATTGTTTCCGCAATCTGACTCTTATTTTATTTTTATGTAATTGTAATACGCGCGCCACACCACGGCGAATCTTCGAGGGAGTACCCGTAACGGAATTAAGGTGTCCGGGAGGATCAAGGACCGAGGAGGGGTGGCGAAAGCGGAAACCACTGGGAGGCGAGAGCAACGCGGCAGGCGTGCGGCGCATGAGGCAGCGATGGACCAGGCCGCCGATAGCCCAGGCGCCTGGGGAAACCCCGGCCTCAGCAATTTGCCTCCACGAAATACTGGCCCGCGGGGTGGCTGATCACCGCCCCGAGGTCAAACCGGAGGCACACCGGCCAGAACGAAGTCCAGTCCGCTGCCCAGGGACAAATTGAAGGAGTCGCTACGCCGCCGAAGGACCGTTGCGCGCCCCCGAAGGATCCCCCTCACGACGATCTTGCGTTGAGATATCGCGCGAGCTGCAAGCTCGCTCCCGATTGGTCGGCGCGCCCCTACGGAAGGGGGTGCCACATCGATTCCGCAATCGAGCGGATTTAGCGAGACACTCTGGTCGTCCGTCGGCGAGTCCGAACGTTCTAAGTAAGATTCGCGATAGCCGCCCCGAGTCGGGAGAATCTGTTACGCTGCGACGATCCTTGGTACGAGGTGACGGCGAGAAGTCCTACGAGAAGGCATCGCATCGGTGAGGTTGCCCGTAAGTAATACCGACATGTAAAGCCACGACGCCGCCCTCTGGTGCGCGCTCTCGTTCGGGAAAACGTTTGTAATATCGCGACACGTACGGTTCCTTGAGACCGAGTATCGAATGGCGATCGACAGCGAAAGCGAAGGGCCTCGGGATGGTATCGTGGCCACGGAATCGTGATAAAGACGTGATAGCGAGCCTCTGGAGATCGCGATAGATTCGTTGGCAAAATCCGGTAATGCGAGTCCGTTTTCGTGTAATGTCCGCGCTCGTGGTTGCGTCTCGCGCACACGGTGTTCACGGCGTATCGAATTACCAAATATTACTTATGTTGGAATGTCGTCCGCGTCGGCACATTAATCGCGTTAACATGCCGTTTATGTGGGCTAATTGCCTTAGGAGATTATTCGTGTTAGGATAGTTATGTTCGGATGCGTTGTTTCGGTAATTGCGTGTAAGAATTAGTCGTGCTGGCTGGAGAACATTCGCGTGATTTGTACTCCATTCTCGCGATAGGCTCCTTGCATTCATGATTGCGTGCCATTATGGCTTGCGGTAATTACGTATTTTTCCTCGCGTTCGTTCCAGTATTTCGCGCTATGCCGAGTACCTCGGCGTATCAATCTTCGCGTTCGAAAATCACTGAAGACAGTGTATTGTATTCGCCCGAATGACTTGCGTTACCCTTGGTTATTTCTCACGTTAGATTAAGTCCATATTTTCGCGTTAGTTATAGTATTCCGCGTCTTCTTGCGATCGCGCCGAAATTTATCTCGCGTTATTGCGTTGGGTTCGGTCCTCATTACGTTGGGACGTGAATTGCGCCACGATTCCTACTTGCGTTAGCTTAAGATAATTGGCGACAGAATTCTCGTGCGACTCTATACGTGGCGTTCACGCGCTCCGAGCGTGACGTACCGTCCTCGCGATCTTTCCTGTGAGACCATATTTTCTATTTCCATGATTATTTCGCGTTTACTGTCGATGTTCCATATTAAACATAAGTTTTATTCTACTATATTTCTCTGATCTAATCACAGCGCATTCTGCGCATTTACTATACGATACCGCAATACTCTGTTCATTTCTGGCGTCCGCGCTACCACTTTCTTTGTTGTTTCATTTCTGACGCCCGCGTGATTGATTATTTGATTTGTCCTATTGACTGAAGCCGAATTGGCATTTATTGTTTCACTCGAGAATTACTAAAGAAAAAATGTTATTCTTGACTTGTTAATTGCTTCAGTTCGTGACCTTATTTATTGTGTGTCATCCCGTCAAATATCGCGCTACCCTTCATTAACCCCGCCCCCTTAGGTCGAGCTAGCCATTTTCTCGCACACCGACTTACTTCGTTTTGCGTCTTTTTTTTTGTTTCTCGCGGTTTCGCGGACGCGAATTCACGCGTCTGACGCCCAACATTGAAATCGTTTCGGGAAGTGTTGGAGGTGCGAGCGAATCGTCGGAGAGGCCTATCACCTTTCTCTCCTTTCCCCTTTTGATTCGGTACACGCCCCGGACCGCTCCGGGAGGGGCAAAAAATTCCCCCTGACTCCAACTTTCCCCTGAACACCCACTGAATTAGAATCATCATATCTATGCTACTCTTAACATTATATTTTTAGTGTTTCAAATCTCCCCGGATAGCCAAATCTGTCGAAAACAAATTGTGAAAGTGATTTTATCGATAGAATTCCAGCAGAAATATAACAGAATCTGCTAACAGAATATTCTTGCAGATCGACTCTAGAAATTGAGCAAAACTTGCCGTTTCGTAACTATTAAAATGTTCCATTTAACTATTTACGAAATAACAGATTTTTTTGTTTCTGTCGACAATCTGCTGTCTTATATTGGCAGGATCTATCGACAAAACATGAGTTTAATGCGGACACAGATGATACCAAATCTGTTGCCATACTGTGGGTAGTTTATTGGCTCCGTATCTTCAATTGTGGAGATACAAGATGATGAAAATAAGTAATAATGTTTATAAATTCTGACGCAAAGAAAATACACTGTTGGAAGTGTTAAATATAACATAAATCATATGTCCCAAACGGTCCACTCAAATTTTTGTGTTAATTTAACATAATATGGAAGTGTTAAATGGTAACACGATATTATGTTAAAATATTTCAACAGAAAGAAAATGTAATTCTGATCGTAATTTGAGGTTAATTATATATATAATTAACATAACTTTTATGTTGAAGTTGTTACGTACGGAAAATTTTAGATTTTCAGACGATACACGTTGAAAATTTTGAACGCTTAGACGACGCACGTTAGCTCGGAATTTCGAAGGAACGGTCGGGTCAATGTAAATGTTTAGGTTATCTTATCGAAGTCCGTTGAAGGGCTGGGGGCCAGATGGGCCCAAAACTACGCTTCTAGAATGTTCTAGAAGCTTCCAGAATACCTCCCTCCTTAAGACGCGTAGGAAAAGGGCGGGAATCTTGCGCGGGAGATTCCGGTCTTTTTCGGGTATAAATGGGGCGGAAAAACGCCGCGGAAAGCAGATAAGTTTTAACTTCGGTCTGGACTAGACATAGTTCTCAGACTCTCTCCTAACTCTTATTCGATTTCCTACGTTCCACTATACGCTATAAGTTCGAGCATTCGCGCTCAATTCTGGGACTTAGTCCCTGTACTCTCATACCTTATAAGACCGCGCTTCACGCACAAGTTGTACTAAGATTTTTAGAATAAAGGTAAGATAAGTTTGAAAGGGAACGAGTTTGAAAATCTGGAATCTCATCTCGTATTCTTAATCAATAATCCATCACTTTTAAGATTCGACTCGCAGTTGTCGCTGACAAAAGCGTGGCGATCTGTGCTGGGGCGCTGACGAAGAGTGTGGCGAACCGGTACTTTCGCTGCCGAAAGCGTGGCGATTACGGGGTTG